CCAAGCCTCACAATTAGGAACAAGAAAAGACTCCAAAAGATTCAAAACTCTTGCCTTCGCCTAATTCATGGGGTACGTAGAAGGAACAGAATCTCATCAAAGCTGTCAGAAACTTGTTGGCTCAGTATGGAAAACCGAAAGTCGCTACACTCAGCGTGTATCTATCACAAGGTTATCAGCAATAACATTCCGACTTATCTATATGATAAAATTACATTTCGGACTGAGGTACACAACTTGAATATACGGCACAAAGGGTTATTAACTCCTCCGACACACACTCATACATTTTTCAAGCGATCATTTACGTGTCAGATATGCAACGTTCACAATAAACTTCACCTTCATTTGAAACATTTTAAAATAGGTATTTTTAGGCAATAATTGAAAATTGAACTACTAGGTGAACAAACTGGACTACCCAATACTTTATCCATATGCATAATTTTTTTTGTAATCTACAATCTTCATTGAATGAATAGCGACAATTTTGACGAGTGACTCTTCCATTAGGTCAAATACCCATATTCGATAAACAAATATCGAAAACAAGGTTTGGGGAATTATGAATCTATTACCTATTTACAAACCCTCCTATTTACTAACCCTCCCTCGATGGTATCTGACCAGTTTTAGGTCATTGTAGGTTTGCTCGATGATCAAGTTACCACTTCTGTCCATCTTCGAAGCAAGGTTTGAATTTTTTGTCGATTTCATAGATTTTTTACTCATACTGAAGATTATCCTTTCAGGACAATTCGCGGTTCACCCTACAATCACTGATGACATCTGTAGCAGGTCGAAACAGCCCTGTTTTGTGAAATGATTAACTTGTTTTCTGGCTTTGGCATCTACCATTGGATATGAAAATATACAAATCAATCAAAAAATAAGATGATTTTCTTTTCGTCCGTGAATGTATATATCTGTCATTATTTGAATCTTAAACGAAGTACCCGACAAATTTTGAATAAATCGAAAAATCCACCATGATATAAGATACCAGCAAATGCCGAAACCTGAGAACCCGTCAGAACTTTCAATATTAGTTTCTAGAATATGGAACTTCTTTCGGAACTTCATATGAGTTTTGATTAAAGTGAGATGAATTCACTCATAGTTTGAGGTCTATTCTACTTCTTTCAAACAATAACACGTATTTTCCATTACTATTTCACACCCCACTGAACAACGCCAGAGCCAAAATAGGGGCTGGGCATGAAAATTTAAGTTTTTTTACAATTCTGGATGTTGTACGAAGTGGAAAATATTAGTTTGTGATACGAACACATTTCCATTACTTGCTGAAGTTTTCGATAAAAAGATCTGGCCCTTAAGAAGAGTAGGAATTGCTTCCTTTCCGTCAGGATCATGAAAAAAATATTAATAGTCTTCAGTTTTTGGTAAATAAGCAAATTATGAACATATTTTCAATATCTTTGCAAATTCCGGAACCAAAAAAGCTTGAGACGATGTTTTGGTATCATGCACGAGATGAAGTTGTTACTAGTTAACAATCTTTCTCTCAAAAAAAGGTTTCATGTATGTAGCAGGACCGTGTTAAAAATAATTGAGTCTCAGGCACTGTACTGTCTGGGTAGGATCTTTTCTGAACTGACGAGAGGTAATATTTCGAAATCGTAGTCTGCAGGTGATCTACTAGCCCCTAGGAGGTATCTTGCATAAAAATCAGTCGAATATAATTCAATGTCCAGCGTGCTATTAGCCGGAATTAGTGTGAAGTTACCCACAACTTTTCATCCACAGTTTATGACGAAGGACAATCGAACAGGGTTTAGAATGAGATTTGCGAACAGTGTTGCCAGATTGCAAATATTAATAATTTTACCTGTATTTTGATGTTTAGAGAAAAATTTCAACAGAAAAAACTAATCAGTTCATTTAATTTCCCTGAGGACAGTCTATCTCAGAATTGGTCTAAAAACTATGATACGAGTAGATGCACCTCGGTTTACGGTCCATAAAAACTATTTTAGTTACAGAACGGCTTCGTTGTGGAAAGAACTTTCGAAGTAATATAATATACAGCAATTCAAATCCAACTTGAATCTTTTTGACAAGAGCGTACAGTGGAATACCTTGCAGTATGACGGTTTTTCTTGCAATGCTTCTTTACCCGTATCTTCACTTGAAAATATTGATTGAAACAGTTTATCGATGTATGGTTCACATTTGGAAACTTTTGGAAATAGTTGGTTAGTTTTCTCCACAAAAGTTTCGACTTTTGTGGATTGACATGCCTATGGTGATGACAGCTATTTCAACCAGCGAACACCTATATTTTTATTCATGATGACCTTTCATCTTAATTTTCATCAAATTCTAAATTCCCATCAAATAGTCATGAACTACTTTTCCACAAAAATCATGCTCATACTGAAACTCCAATTGAAAATAGTAGAGTAAGTCACAAAATCTAATTGAACCAAGAAAATATTTAAATGATGTCAACTGTCAAATGACTTCGTTGAAAATATTTTAAAACAGGGAAATTTTAAACCTGAAATCGAAATAGAGTGAAATTATGGAGCTGTAGACAAACTTTTATTCAACTTCCGCGATGTCTTGGGTCTTTTCTCGAGATTTTGATTTATTTTCAAAAATAATGTCAATTCAGATATTGGCTCTTGTACAGCTTCGTATGAAAGTTCCAGAATTTCAGCGTAATACCGTTCTTCTCCTCATTCTGTAAAATGGTATTCAAAATTTTACTGATTGTGTTGAATTTCGGATCGATTCGAAAAATCATGATACAACTGTGATTCAATAGAAAGTCAGTTCTCGCATTTCTGAAACATTATTTCTATTGTTTGCTGACATGTCAGAAGAATGAAGATTTTAATTTTTTCCCTTACGTGGAAATAGACTTTGATATTGAAATGTTTTCGAAAATTTTTGGCCATCTACTTCTCTATATTGATACAAAAAATGTGAGAATTTTCCAAATAAAGGAAGGAAGCAATCAATTTCAAAAATTAAGTCTATATAGAGAATTGTAGATCATGCAGACACAAACTGAAAGAAAAAGCGTTTTCGAAACAGCTATTTCCATATAAACATAAAATTACACAAAAGAAAAATACGAAACAAATACTCTCATATGAACACTGAATTATACGAAAAACACTCTTCTCTATTCTGTTTGTATTGTAAACATTCGTAATGGAATCGAGTCAGATATCATTCACAGGATTCCTACACAATATATTCAATGGAAGAAGTAAAATTTGACTTACTTCAATGAAAAAAGTAAAATTTCACTCACATGGAACACTGTCATCACTGCTAATAATGTTAGCAAAATTCAATAATGTTAGCAAAACTTTATTGCACTCTCATTCTTGCTCACTGGTGTTTTTGAAAATTCCTCTTTAACGATTCACATTATCCGAAATGTTTATTTCACGCAGTGAACTGCAGGCTTTTTGCAATAAGTTTACAGTTGATATCGGGCTTGATACACTACTAACAATTGTTATCACTTTGTTTTTCAGCATGTGCTTTGACACCACAATATTTGATCTTCCTTTTGAAGATGATCACTTGGTGATCGAAATACGTGTTGAGTTGTTAAAATAACGTTCTGGTGTTGGAAAAAACTTCAGTAATATTCATTACTACACCAAAGGTTCCAAACAGTGCATCACAAGTAGCACAATATTTGTAGCAACTGAGTCTTCACCCACCCGACCAACTGTCACTGAGTCAGCACCCACGTTTCCTAACAGTTCCGTATTTCTCAGTTTCAGGACAACTGTAATGTTTCTAGAAACTTTGCAAATAGTATTAATTCATACACGTTGAACAGTACGTGATGATGAAAATTAAAACCTGTTTCATGGAATGTTCTCAGGGCGCAACATAAAGTACTTCCCAATGATGCAAAATGTGTGATTTTTTTAGTTTTTGGATCAATCAGTGTAACAACTATTACTTAATTACCCATAGTTACATTATTGTAACTATGAAAATCACCTTTAAAAGTAGATACTCTGCATCTGCAGCTTCTTTCAACAATATATTAACCTTTTTGGGCTCAATATTTTTAAACTTCATGACTGTAGCGGTTAGTTATTGTTTTCAGCAGCATAATGAGTTTGCTGTATTTGTAATTGTTTAGTTGTACCTTTTTTAACGTTTCATCAATTCATACTCACTTTGATATTTCACATTTTTCGTAGTATACTCGAATTTGACATCGAAATATACTACCATAGTGATGATGATTCGATCTTTCTTCGCCTTTTTTGCAATGTATACCAAAAGAACTTTTTCACTGGCCCCATTGGCTTTTGGTTCTATTTCGTGCTCTAACTCCTCCACTTCTTCTTCTAGGCGTGTTGGCTATCCTTGTTCATCTTTCACTGCCTGTACCACTGTACATGCTGTTTTTGGCGAGTGAATTTGCTTGGGATGTGGGGGTTGAGCAAACCGACCATCGGATGCCTGCCTCCACGTAGTCCCGCTGGATACGGGAACGACAGAATCACTTGTGGTTCTGTTATTCCCTAGGTTTTTAGAGTTCGGCAGAGCCGTACTCTTACCATCTGACCTGAAAGACCAATTTGCTCATTGTCTTCGTTAAGAAAGCAGGTTTCTTTGGTCGAGTGTGAATAGGTGTGAGCCACAATAAACCCTTGTGGGTTGCGGTGGAGGGTCGAATAGACCCACTCACTTTGGACTTAACCTAACCTTACCTCCACTTCTTTGTATCATCAAGTGTTTCATCGCAGAAGTGAAAATTTTGGTTATAGACAAATCTCATTACTGCCCCTACCATATTGTTGGCAAAGTATGAATTATTTATCTCGATATATGATGGAATTGATGAAAATCCATAACGAACGTATTCAAAAAACACTTTATTAACATCGTTCAGATGGCAGCCATGGCTTCTCTAGGTGAAGGGCATCCGAAATGCCCATTTTTTTTCAAATAAAATATCTTTTTTGCAATTAATATTGTTTATATTGTTTCAGCCTCTACTCCAGTTCTCCTTCAAATCACCCCCCTTCTTGGCGCCCTGATAGGCGTCGTAGCGGCTCTCATCCTGGTCGCAGTCATCATCGTCATAGTAATCCGTCTACGAGACGGGGGAGATAACGATGAGAAAGACTATGATGACGGCGGACTTTCCTCCTCGGGAAGACGATGCGTAGCAGGAAACGGTGACAAAGCTAGCACGGAGCCCTTGAATAAGGATCTCAATGACAGCATAGATAGTCTTGAGGAGAAGAATCCCGATATAATTCCTCAAAATAATGGGGAAGAAGAGTATCAGGATGAAGAACGGGCCTTCGAAAGGTTGAACAATTCAACTCTGAGGGCATACAGCAGAATGCAAAGTCCTATCAGCCAGATTAAAAACAATGGATCGTACGATGGATACGTGGGTAAAACGGTGAGTAATGTTTGCATGTTTGGAATGTTCATTTCGAAATATTTCCTTATGAATTAGCATTCTTGGAGATTTGACAGCCTCATCCACCAATTTATATGTAACCGACTTGTACTCGGAACTATTTTTTCACTACCATTAGTATAACTGTTTTTTTATCAACTGGACCGTCTCATTTATCTACTAAGTATACGAAGATTATAAAACCTGTGGATTTATTTTGCTCAAACAATCCGAACATTAATAGATATCAAAGAATGTAAACTTTCACGGCCGGTGATGATGGTGTGAAAGCTATTTTCTGGGTTATTTTACCGTGGTCTGCTGGTGTTATGCCTGACGTTTCGTCTACTACTGCGGTAGACATTATCAACAGCGATACGGTGTGTATCTGTAAGGACAGGTAGCCAGATTTTATTAATGTTCATTGCCTCTTCTTTTCTATTGAAATTATCCCTGCATTTTAAAATTTCTACTGCATCTCTATATAATGTTGGATAGAAATTCTGAGTTTTATTAAGTTTTACTGTATCCCCGAATGAGATAATGTGAGTACCTTCCTTGTTGAGAACATGTTCGGCTACATCTGATTTGTTGGTTTGCCCGAGTCAACAATTTCTCTTGTGTTCAGAGAGAAGGGTACCAACAATTCTTTACATGGTTCCAATATAGACCGACCCGCAGCTACAAGGAATCCGATATACCCCATTGCTAAACGTTCTATGGGGCACTAGGTTAGGTTAGGTCCAAAGTGAGTGGGTATATTCGACCCTCCACCGCAACCCGCAAGGGTTTATTATGGCTCACACCTATTCACACTCGACTAGCTTCTTAATGAAGCGATCAGTTTATATGGAGAGTGGTCCTTCACATCAGATGGCAAGAGTACGGCTTCGCCGAACTTCTAAAACCTGATTCGGTCCCCAGCGGGGCAGGCACAAAGTATATGCTCTGCTGTTTCATCGTTAATGAGGTAGCCGGAGAGTCAAGGTGCAAGATTCCCACCTTGATACCCGCGAAAACCTTCCCATATGAGGGTTTTTGCACGTCAGGTACACCTAATGATGCCTTAGATTCAACCGTACAGGACTTTTTCGCCTCTGTTATGGTGATTCATCACTTGAGCGCAAACGTTTGCTAACCTGCTCATGGGGGGTTTGTTCCTTCATCTGCGACAGATTCTGCATACGCCGCTCAAGAATTTGGTGCAAGGCGGCTTCATAAGGTACCCCGCTCTTGAGGAGAAGACTCAGTCGTTTCCTGGCTGCACCACCAAACATTTTTTTAGGTTCAGTTATTGGATCAGGAGTTTGAGAGTTGAAAGGCTCTCGCTCCTGATCTAAATTTACAGAGAGGTCAGTTGGAGTCGTAAGCTCGACATCCATCTCCTCTGTAGACTCAGCATTAGAAGTAGTTTTTGAGTTTACTCTGTCCATGAAGATCCCACGAGTAGCTAGGGAAAGAAGGTCAATCACGGCAGAGCCCCGCATTACCGTGACAAGGCGATGCTACGACGAAAGGGTGCCCGGTATATCGAAGGTTACGTAGAGACAGCTCATAGGCTCAGTGTCATTCATCCTCTCGACACGGATACACACACCTTAGGATTAAGCCATCTCTGGGATGTCATTCAGTAAGGGAATAGCAGAACCTCAAGTGATTCTGTCATTCCCGTATCCAGCGGGACTACGTGGAAGCAGGCATCCCAATGGCCGCTTCAGGCAGTGAAAGATGAACAAGAACAGCCAACCCGCCCTCTCTGGGGCACTAACTCAAGCACTGCGACCGTTACCACTTCGCCTTTGATATTGTCTACCGCAGTAATAGACGAATCGCATAAAAACCTACCGACAACGTCCATAAAACCTGGAAAATAGCGTTCACACATTTAAAAAGATGAAATAAAAACAGAAAATCCTAGTGGATATTTTCTTCAAATAGCTTTTTCATCATTTTTGGATTTCAATATATACCAAGTTGATAATATCATGAATTAGTCATGTATTTGACAACATGTCTGAATGAATCACTTGTTGGAGGAAATATTATATTGAAATATTCAAGTTTTGTTGCCCTTGTCGATTATTATCAAACGATTCATCGTGTAAAAGAGAAATTTCATATCGTTCTGCCATTAGTTGGTAGTGCAGCCTTCTAAACAAAAAAAGACAACAACTATCTCATGACAACTATACATTTTGAAGTATAAAAGTGGATAACACCTGCCATGAAACGTGTGAGATCAAGTTTCGATAGTATTGCAAAAATTTGACGTCGAGACGACATGAATTCTATAATTCATCATATTCAAATCAAATCAAATACGTTAGTACCTTAAACATTTCATAAACATTATAACTGCCCTTTACAGCAAACTATTAAAATGATTAGCTTAAGAGTTGTTGCAAAATCAAAACAAGCGATCTCACACCCCCATGTGACACGCGTGATGAAGAAAGTTTGCAAATTGCGTTAGGTTTGTTTTACGTAGTGAAACACTTTGAAGGCTGAGATCACATTTTTGTTATGTGATGTTTTCAGATATTCTATTCTAAAATTAAAATTGATAGTTGTGATTATACTTTAATCTGTGCTCCAACCCAAAATTGAAGAATTGAAGACCTTCTGCTAGGACATAAATGCTTTCAATAAAACTGCAACAATAGCGAATCAAATTAGTATTTTATTATTTCTGTACGTTACTGTTCACTCGCTTGTTTCATTTCGAAACTTTTATGGTTGATGGGATCTTGCATGAACATAAATTATACCATCAGGAATCATAACAATAACCCTACTAATATCCTACTCAGTCATGCACTAAACTTCTTTCCGACTCAAAAACAACAGTAGACTAACTTCTTTCAGAGTGACGAAATAACCTATGCTGAATTATCTATCGCAAACCAACAGATACCGCAAGTGATCTACAATCAACAGTGCATACCGATGTCGGTGATTCGACGCCAGGAACCTACGGTGTATGCACAAATCGACGTCAAGAGGATGCCGCATAGTTTGCAGCCCCTCAGTCCCCCACATCCATCAACGTTCCAAACGTTGCACCATCCCCATTTACCGCCCTACCTGCCGAGGCCGATCAGAGATGATTCGATGGTTCACGAGGGTTCGGTCAGCTCCGAAACGCCCTTGTTGACTTCGAGGGACACAAATGTAAGTCAAAGGGTTATGTAGTTGGAAAATGAAAATGAGTTTGAAGGCAATATGTTGATTTTCTTAGTACATTTGTATATCTTCGATGTAGTCTTGGGACCTATTTTGATTAGCGTTAGAGTGTTGATACTTGGAATGATTTTTTCCGCTGTTTTCAAGGGTAAAACACAAGCACTACAGGAAAGTCCTTAAGGCGCTTTAAGAGCGGTGCCTGTGCGACAGTAGCGATTCACGTTGGATTTCAATCGCTGGATTCATAAATTCATTTGAAAAAACGTTCTCAGTAAGTTTATTCCACTAAAACGCAGTTCTTTTAATCAGTAAAGTTCGATGTGTACTCTGAATTGAACCTCAAAACGATGAGCAACAACAGTCCGTCGCGTATTTCTGATATGCACCGTTCTTGGTGTAATCAAATATGGCAAGTCACTTGAACACCTCCCGTGAAAGTATCTCCAACCGTTCTTCGATGTGTCAGACTATCAAGGTTGCAAAAATTACACAGCATCTTCCTTCAAAAAGTTCCACTGAGAACAGTAAAAACGCGTAAATTTCCCCCATGGTTCGATGTTATCAGGCATATAAAGGAAAAGGAATTAGCATATAGAAAATATAAGAAATATAAAACAGCAACTTATCAAAATCAATTCTCGGATCTGCGAAAAACTGTCAAAACTAAAATAAAAGCAGCATATAGTCAATTTACAAACTCGACATTCTGGTCTTTCATACACAGTAAAAAAGGATATTCGTGTATACCGGGTATAATAGAACTTGGTGATGAGGGATTTGATAAGCCTGGGGATATTGTCAATGGATTCGCCAAGTACTTCAGACGTGTATACTTGGTTTCGGACTACAATATGCTTCGTGAAAATTCTCATGATTCTGATTTAAATACATTAAACATCCCTGCCTTCTCTAAAATTGATATTGTTGCTGCTTCAAAAAAATTAAGAAATAAACTCACCGCAGGCGTTGACAATGTTCCTAGTCTTCTGATAAAGGACTGTATCGACGTTCTCTCTATACCTCTAATAGGCATATTCAACCTAATTTTACCAACTTGTGCCTTCCCTGAGCATTGGAAAACGGCTCAAATTTGTCCGATATTGAAAAAAGGCGACTCTAACGATATCACAAACTACAGGGCAATTTCAATTAAATGTAACTTTTCTAAACTCTTCGAGATATGTGTGCAAAATTTTATGTGCTCCCATATTCAAAAAGTCATTTCTCCTACACAGCATGGTTTCGTACAACAAAGATCATGTATGACAAAACTTGCGTGTTTAAATCAATATATCTGTACGTACCTACTAGCAGAAATAAGTCGATGCTGTTTATTTAGACTTTCAAAAAGCCTTCGATCAAATAGACCATTATGTTCTGCTCAGCAAAGTGACAAAATTGGGACTCTCTAACCAACTGCTTACTTTAATTGAATCATATCTAGTTAACAGAAAACAATTCGTTGAATATGAATCTTTGAAATGGCAAAAACTTCAAAAGTATTGCCACCTTAAACTTGCTATATTTTGCGCATGCCAGATCTAAGTTAGAGTATGGCTTCGTGTTATGGAATCCAGTTTACGACTACAAAAAAACATCAATTGAGAGCGTGCAGAGGAAGTTCTTGAAATACTTATGTCTAAAAGTTGATGAGCAATACCACACAAGAAGCTTCGATCATAACATTTTGTTGACACGATTTGATATGACATTTTTGGAAAATAGGAAAGTTATCCTTGGTAGAAAATTCCTGCATAAATTACTAAACAACAATATTGACACTACGGTTTTTTTACCCGAGATCAATTTCTCAGTATGAAGAAGTGAAGGTCGACACAATCTGAAATTCTATTGCGAAGCATCACGCACAAATGTTATGCTACGTTCACCATTGAATTTTATGTGCAGTAGCTTCAATAAGATCTGTGAACATTGCGATATTCATTTCGACTCTCTAAACGCCTTGGTATCATGTATCCACAATCACTTTTAATAATACTGTCAGTAATGCTAGATTGCATGATTTGTAACTTTTCGTGTTATATACTCAATTTTTCATTCCTATTTTGAAATTTTACGAATATGAATATTTTATATACTATACTTTGTTTTAGCATTTACTTTTATACATTTCTATATTCCATTATTTTCAATATTAATTTCATATATACTCTGCAATAATAGCATTTCCTGTAACTGGGTACTCCTGTTGGAAATAAATCGCTTTTTTATGACTCTTTTCTAGATGGAATCCAGCAGCTTCAGGGTATGCTTAGACGCGGAGCTCCATGCATGTGAACATTACTCCAAAGAAGGTCTGATTTGAGATTTACAAAGTATGAAAAGTTGTTGGAGTTTGCACAGTTTTCTGGTTCGGAACAGTGTTCCAAGCTTTTGAGAAGCAGCCTTCGGAATTCAAGCAACATAATTGTACAAACACCGGCAAATTTTGATGCATTATAAAGCTCAGATCAAGCCTTCTTTGGAGTACTGCTCACATGTATGGAGCTCCGCCCTTGAGCATACCCTGAAGCTGCTGGATACCATCCAGAAAAGAGCCATCCGCCTGATTAAAGACACGAACATCACATGCAACGTGGAACATGGAAGAAAGGTTGGATATTTACCTATCTCTCTTTCATAGATACTTTCACGCAAGCTGTTCAAGTGACTTGGCACATTTGATTCCACCAAGAGCGGTACACATCAGAAATACGCGACGGACTGTGGCTGGTAATCGTTTTGAGGTTCAACTAGTACACTTCTAACTTCACTGTTTAAGAAATCTTGCATTTGGAGAACTGCCTTCATGTGGAACAAACTTCCTGAGAACGTTTCTCCAAATGAATTAAATCTCCAACGATTCAAATCCAACGTGAATTGCTACTTTCGCACAGGCACCGCTCTTAGAACGCCTTAAAGATTTTCTATAAAAATAAAATAATCGCTTGCGGTTTTGCTCATGAGAAAATTTTTGATAGCTTTCTTGAAATATGGTGATACTCAAGCCATTCATTTCTTGCAGGTTCTACAGTCTCTATTGGATGTAAATAGCAGCCGAACCCCAACGATAACTTCTACTCTACCGAGGACGGTGACTGCAACTCGATTTTGACCGAGTTAAATAGACTATGAAGATCTGGTATATTTATAAACGAATTTGTAACTGTTATTATGACTATATGAATGTTACCTTTATGTCGGGTGTTTTTACTGCTTCATTCCGAGAAATGTTTTATCTGAAGATGTTTTGTGAGTAAATTTCTATTGTTTGGAAAATATTTGTATAGTTTTATCGCGCTGTCCATTCCAATCTTGTCTCATTATATTTTTGGTTTATTGGTCAGAGAACATACCTAAGAACAATCAAAGAGATATCCATTGAAGTTGTAGGTGGAAACCACTTTTTCAGATTCATTTCTGAAAGTTTATAAGAAATATTAATTTTCAGTTTGAAATTAACTTTATTTTGTAAAAGAACGACTTCTATATATTATTTTTGGTTGTTTCGGAGTGGATGAGGTTAAATGAGAAAATTCTTTGAGAATTTAAGATTTTTGTACTGGAATTTATGAGAAATGTGTAGTACCTACTTTAAGCAGAGACAATTACTAAATTGTGATTATGCAGTTTTTGTCTAGATGTACAGAATGTCAAGAAATGATTTGTAAGAATTCACCACATTTCCTATTCTTTTCTAGAAAAAAACTAATCGATAAGGGCTGGTTTTTCTCTTAAAAAGAACATTTTTTCTGAGAGTACTTAATTTAGTGATTATGTTTATAGTTGTTCAGTTCACAAAAAATATTTCGTTATTCAAAAGAAATTAAATTTTATTATCATGTTTTTACAATAATGCATTAAACTCATTTATGTTGATGAGTTTTCAGCCTGCTAAAATTTTACTTTTGTTTACAATGCAGGGTGCATTATTTGGCAGATTTCAATAATTCAAAAGTTTTTAATATTATTTTTTAAATCTCTTGTTCCAATTATCTTTTGAAAAACCTGTTTTTTATCGTTAAAATAACTTTTTCGCAAGTATTCAACATTTAAAACATAATATTCATATGTTATAAAAATATTGAAATATTCTGGAACTAAGATAGGTGTACCAAATAAGGCCCACTTAATATTTGTTAGTTATTTTTTAGGTAATTAACCCATGATAGAACTCTCAAAATCAAAAAGAAGATAAATTACATATTTGAATTTAATATAAAAATGCTAACTTTTATCAAATTTGTTATAAGTTGTTATTCTCAGGTCTTTAAAAAATAGTTGCTTCTGGGCCTAATTAGGAACACTATGTTCTTTATAAGGCCCATACTATGTACCTAATAAGGCCCACTTTTGAAATACCACAATTAATCATCAAGGGTGACAGCAGGTAAACACCTTTATTTTATAATAATAATAGTTATTGCGAACAGTCTGGACATATGATAATTATGTCTTTATCATCTGCCGAAAGTCCTACACACTCTTCATGAATATATCGTTTATAGTTGTCGCAAAGTCTCATATCCTTAACAGCATCCTCTTTGCAGGCAAAACAATACCAACTTTCTTTTTTTTTTTAGTTGTTTTTTAAGAGTTTTTCCATTTGCCAGGTTTTTCCCTTTTCTTGGTTGGTTTTTAGGGCCATTTAAACTAGCTTCATCAAACAATGATTTTGTGACTTCTTGTGCTCGATAATTAAGGGATTTCTTTCTAGCACACTGTTTTTTTCTAGTTTCTAATTCTGGTGTAACTAACACTTCATTGAAACTAACTGTCTATGTACCCAATAAGGCCCACTTTTGAAATACCACAATTAATCAAATCAAATCAAGTGTGACAGCAGGTAACACATTTATTTTATGACAAATAATAATAGTTATTGCGAACAGTCTGGACATATGAAAATTATGTCTTTATCATCTGCCGAAAGTCCTACACACTCTTCATGAATATATCGTTTACAGTTGTCGCAAAGTCTCATATCCTTAACAGCATCCTCTTTGTTGGCAAAACAATACCAACTTTCCTTTTTTTAGTTGTTTTTTAAGAGTTTTTCCATTTGCCAGGTTTTTCCTTTTTCTTGGTTTTTTGGGCCATTTAAACTAGCTTCATCAAACAATGATTTTGTGATTTCTTGTGCTCGATAATTAAGGGATTTCTTTCTAGCACACTGTTTTTTTCTAGTTTCTAATTCTGGTGTAACTAACACTTCATTGAAACTAACTGAGCTTTCATGTACTGAAAATTCATTGTCAGAGCTGTCAAAACTCTCAGAGCTATCTTCAGTTTTTTTTCCCTTTCGAGTTTTCCTTTACTTTTTTCTATCCGAAATGGAGCTGCCATCAATATTAAAAATGCGTTGAGGGCTTTGCAGGATATCAAGCTTCAACATAACTTCTCGTAGCTTTTCAAAATAGTCATTGACTATGAATTTGGCGGCTCTAGCTTGATTCATGAATTGCGATTTTCTTTTAACAACTTCGGGATGCCGACCTAGAAAAAGTTTGAGCCATTTTCGACCAGCTATGTTCTTATCGGTAAAAGGTGCAGGTATTCCGTTTCGTTGGCAATATTCATGGACAGAACACCTAATCACTGTAGATGTTAGGGGCATTCCAACATCAGCTTGCCTAAAAATACTTTCACACAACTCAGATTCTTGTTCAAGTGTTAAACATAAAGGACAGCCAAGTTTATTTTCCGTTTATCCACTGAGCAAATGATTTCTTAGTGTTCGACGGGCAATATTGAATTCTTTGGCGGCTGTTCTTACTGACATCCCATTTTTGACTGCTTGCAAGGCCAAAGCCATTTATTCTTCAATCCATAAACATCTGGGCATCTTAAACTTTCCAATAATCTCTCTGAAACAAAGTTTACCAACTTACAAAACGAATTAATGTAGTGATCCTAACAAAGTCCATCCGTATTGTTGCAGTGTTCTTAATAAGGCCCAGCCGGGCCTTATTAGCAACACTGTCAGTGGCCAATGTTTTTTGGACATTAGAATTATTTACGTTTCAATAAACCTAAGGTAATATATATAGTATGAAAAAACAACAATCAAGTATACCAATGACATGCAGATTAAAAAAATATCGCTCATATAAGCATATTATATTTGAATGGCATACTAACCTCAAAATTATATTAGATGTATAACCATGAAAGCACGTGAACGAATGATCCTATAAAAGCTACGTTTGGTATCTCTGCTGAACTTAGTATAAATATTTGCATCTAGATGGCTCTGATGGCTTTATTTGGCGTACCTACCTTACTACAGTTACTATAAAATGTGTTATTACTCTCAATGTTTATCAGGAAAAAGTTTTTCGTAAGAGTAGTACTATTCAAGTACTAACTGTCAAATTTTGGGAAAGTTAGGGAATTTGAAAACTAAGCACGATACAACTAAAACTCATGGGACCTACAAATAACCATTTCATTTGAATTACATAAAAAGTAGCTCTTTATTGCTGTTATCAAATGTACCAAATTGTGATTATGATACGTGTGATATCTTCTGAGCAATTAATTCAAAACCATTTTTTATTGAAACATGTATTCCTTCCTACTCTCTATATCGAAAAATTAAGGGATTTAGGATATATTTTTTTCATGAAAAAAATACAAGAAATCACCCTTCATAATTGAGTAATTTAAACTATGAATGTCTCTATATGAAGCTTAAGCTCTTCCATACTTTTCAAAATTTATGTTGTGTTGTTTTTGTAAGTATCTGTTTCCAAATCTGTTTTTCCGCTAATTAGCTGTTTCCCCCCTTCAAACGACAACACCCAGAAGTCAAAATTTGTTCAAGCTAAGGAGGTCTAAGAATTTCAATAACTTACTGTACTCACGTCATTTGTTCAGCAGAATTTCGAAAATTACGAGCAGGCTCTCATTTCAGTTTCATTTAGTCGTTAACTTATCTACACGAACAATTCGTTAAGGCCAGTCACAACTTACCTACACTGTAGGTTAATGAACTAACACCTATCAGAAAACAACTACTCCCCTGGCTAATACCGCAAAGGTCGTTGGATTATATCCGACAGGTGTCAGTGCAGAATTCTTCGCGGAAGCTATTCCTTCATATGCTGTTGGCGATACAACTGCCGGAATCGATTTTAAATTATTGGAACACACTTGCAGATCGGTTTCGGGCTGTTTAGACACTCGTCAGTGCAAGGTAGTGTATATCATCAACATGAGGTCGATGATTTCTCATAATTGAAAATCGAATTCCTTTCAGAGTATTATTCCTCGAACTAGGCTGAAACGAACGACAAACATCATGTTTGTCATCGCTGCATCTGCCCGTGAACGAGGCTCAATCCAACGTCCTTCGTTGTATTAGCCAGGGGAGTAGTTGTTTTCTGATAGGTGTCGGTGTAGATAAGTTGAGACTGGCCTGAACGAATTGTTCGTATGAATAATTTGATTTACAGCCAGTCTTGAAGAATGCCCACTTACTTTATATTATGTTGAAGGGTGCACCAATTAAACTTGCATCCTTGAATATTGACTTCAAGAGTACACATTCATGTTACCATACTGCTTGCTGTATTTATAATTTACCAAATTTACAAACTCGGATCGATGTTTATTAACAACGGTATAATAATACCTAATTCAATTTCTATTGAAGAAAATAAAGAAATGTGGTGAAAGGTGTTGTTTTTCGAACATAGTTTGTTGTTGCTTGTAAATACCATTGTTTCATGTTGTGACAACAAATCAATTAAAATGGTATAAGAATTATACATTTTATTGGATATTTTTATTAGTCATATAAATAGTATAAATATTCAGAATAACTGTCATAATAATTTCAATATGAGGCTGTTGACATTCACCAAAAAATGTTTGTTGTATCCCAGTAAATATGTGTCATAAACTCCTAATAAACTACACCTCAGTTCATAATGCCATTTGTTGGTTATGTAATTAATTTAGGCGAAATGCTACTGCCATAAGTTAAGCGTTAAGTTATGTATTTTTAATATACAGCAATGAGATAATTTCACTTGTAACTTAATAAAATCTTGATTATTAAGGTGGTTATTTTGAGTAACTATCACAATGCTGAATATAAAATTTCGTGCAATACTTGGATACTTTATTATTCCTTTTGTAATCATACAGGTTTTCGCATTATATTACACACAAAAGCTGTTAATATATGTAACCAAGTAATACATGAATAACTATTATCTCAAGCCTAGTCACTTTCATTTGAGTTTTTTGTTTCGGCAGAAATTTCTTCATTATACAATGTTATGTACATACATTTTTCAACTGATAAAGAAGACTCGACTTGTAGGTTGTTCCAGAGTAAACAGTCACACCCATGAACAATGTATATTCAACAATTCAATTGTCATTTTAATTATTGTTGAAAACCATTTGCAATCGGAGTTCATTTTTATGGACCCATATCTGAAAATATGCCGCTCAATGCTGACACAACTGAAAATAGTTTCCCTGAAAGTGTGGTTGTACTTTACCAATCACCAATCATCATTAGATATTAAAAAAAATCAGTTTTGGTATTGAATTTATGTTAACTACAATATGTTTTCATTGACTTGGCTGTGGTTACAATATCTCATAGCAGTTTATTTTTTTTAATACTTTGGCATTACATTGTTATTCTTTTTGCTCTACTCAAATAGTTTTCTGTAACAGAGTCTCGATTATCGGAACATTATCCTTTTGAAAAAAATTCAACAAGATGTAAAAACGATTTCATCTGACACCCCCAATATTTTGTTGGTCTACGTTGATCGTTTGAAAATAAACCATTTTTTGTATTTATGAAAATATCAATAAATCTCACTCAATAACCTGTCGTTATCGAAATTTTAATAATAAAAACTTGTAAGTTTGAAATTGAAAAAACATCTAGAATGCCAAAAATTTATT